CTAATATATGTGATTTAATCTACGGTTTTATCGATCTCGAGAGGGACGATATGCTAAATTTGTGATCGTCTTATAGGGTAGATAAAGAAAACATTTAGTTGTGATATTTTTTAAGGGATCTTAACTATTAATTGAACCCAACGTCTTAGAATCTATCGTTCCCATATATTTTCTCACGTGTTGATCTAGCTAGTTCTTTATTTTTGTTTTATTCCTTTCATTTATTTTCTTAGTTTAGTTAATCAATCTCATATTCGGTCGTCTAAATAAAGTTGACACTATCATAATCTTGTACTTGATATATTAATTATTTGGTCTCTTGGGATACGACCTTGCTTGCCACATACTACGAGCGAAGCCGTACACTTGCGGTCGAGCTTTAAAAATATAGGCGAACAACAACACCAATTATTTTTTCAGAATCACATAGTCAACGGTTATTTTTCGGTTCAAAGTGATTTCGGTCAGTATTCTCCGAGTCGCCATAGCCAACAACTGACTACTGACCTAAAAAGATGATGATGATAGATGATGGTGTTGCTGCTGATGATGATGTAATGGGCAAGAACAAGAGAAGAAAAAGCAAAAATGCAAAAACAAAAACAAAGAGAAAAACAAATGTCGATCTTTAGCACAACTGATGTTGTTGGAAATTTTAACTACCCTATTTGATCAAAGCTTAAACATGTCAGTGACCTTAAGGTGAGAATACACATCACACTACCCCATGAAAGCCGGCAGACTCCAAGAGCACTGCTTTGATTTGATCAGGATTAAGATCTTGGCCTTCTCCCCATTGCTGAAAAAAAACTTATGAAAAGAATATTAACACTAGGTAATTAGAAGGAATTCATCAAGAGGAAGAATATTTATAGTTTGTAGAAGATGATAATCAGCTAAAAGTTCGCAGTTGCCTATCCACGTTACCAACTCGTAAATTAAAATAAGTGATCATATTATGCATGAGCTCCTCTTTCATGTTATTTAAATTAGAATAAAGTTGAACTTGATTGAAAATATTGCTCATTACTCATACATATATACCTCAGCACGAAAAACATCCAAGGCGAAACCATTGAAGCAGCTGATAACAGCTTGCTGAACGTCTAGGCCGAGACTGTCCATAGCCCTCAAAGTAGACAGCAAAAGGCCCGGTTTTCGTCCACAAAACATGTGAATGTTTACAGCTCGTCCTTCTCTTAGCCTCACCTCCACCTGTAACACATTATTAGCCCTTCATGTGGCTATTTTTAAAGAGTATGTAACATTCTCAGCTCCCTGCTCCGAGCTCCTCACACACAAATACAGAAATACAGGTTTCGTGTCCGTTATTTTTTAACATTATAACTACTAACTAGCCCTTTATGTGGCTATTTATAGTGAAGTAGTGTTTTATTTATTTTTTTAATCATACCACTTAAGTTCTTACCCTTGCCGGTTGTCCAGTTGGGCTTGACAATGGGCTTGCAAATGCACTGTGACAAAGCTCTTCCTTGATACGGCTTGGTAGGCCAGGGGTTCCAGCTGGCGTGACAGGGTAAAAGTTCGATGTTGGAGTAGCTGAAGAGGTACCAGGAATGGACTCGAGTTCATTGTTGAGGTCACTGATCTTCTTCAAAAGCTCCTTTAAGTAGTCGATTGCGTCCCCAAGTATGGAAGCCCTGTCCATCTGCCAATAAGCCAAGAAAATGGATATTTTGCCTTCATATTATTCTATAATTGTTGACGAGCGCATAACACAACAAATAAGTATCGTCTTTATCTTCACCAACTAAATTATTTGTTAGTGTGTTATTTTACTTTTTGGAAACTATAAATCCAAACTTCAATGGATTTCTTTGTGTTGTGTGCGTGCCGTGTGTGAAATCTGATGATGTGATGTGCGCAAGTGCCTTTGTGAGGCAAAAATTCAGATACGACATCACAAACCAAAAGAAAAACAGAATAAATGTCGTCTATCATAACCAAATCTCAAGTATAAAAATGCAACTACCAATTTTCTTATTGGCGTACGCTGTAAAAAAACAGTTCGAAATTTATACTAAACCGTTTCCAGCAAGTCGACCAATGACGGCAAGTCTGCTAAGGCCATTAGATATTTCCTTTGTACATATATGTTTTCCTAAATGCATTTTGGTGGAAATTTACAGTCTCAATTTTCTACTTCACGCAAAAACCAAGTGCAAAGATACAAAAGGGAACAAAGAATACATTTGAAAACAGAACTAATAACAATAATAATTACTCTACATATTAGAGATGGGACCTCATGCTGGATAGGGATACAAATTAAAGTCGCAAAAAACCTTACAAAAGAACGGCTAGTGAAATATTACCGTTTAATATGCATGCGAAGTTCAATCTCATTCAGTGTGACAGTAATGAAATAAACTCTCAAGTCATTACTTCCCATTTTGTGACTCCCAAATAAACAATACCTCACAATCCTGTCTGTGGTCCAAAATGCAAGATGCATCTTCATATCAGTTCATATATTCCATGTGAGTGAATTAAATGCTTTTATCAGTCAACTTTAATGTGCAAGGCTCTCTCTCGATATCTATCCCAATCAAAAAAGTTACACCACTAACAAATCTACTTAATACATAGCAAAACATATCTTAATAGGATATGAAACCAAAAAAGCAAAATAAAAAAACCTCTAAATGAATGTGACCGGCTAATGAAAACTATCACCATATATGGCTAAAATTATGTCGCAAATTCACGAAAAATTAAATTGGTAATTCCAATAAATCTTCATACCTTGCTTATTTTCGGCACAACCGACCTCAACAAGTAGAGGCGGTCATTAAGCTTTTTCCTCCTCCGCCTCTCAGCCATCAAATTTTTTGCCGGCTGCCCTTTCTTTTTCCCCTTTTGATCCCCGGCAGTGAGTGTGCTGTTAGCGTTGGAACAATTTCCACCATTTTTTCCACTCACAGTACTATTCTCCAAGAGTTGATCATCAGAATCATAGTGCAGGTTAGAACCATCGAGGCTAAAATCGTCCATATCGTCCACACTACTACTTTTCCTTTTCCTCTCATTCTCCTCACTGATTAATTCTATATTACTTGCACTAGCTGGGGACTTTAAGCTAATCTGATTTCTAGGACCCCCTAAATTCAAACACCCCAAATTACTCACACTATTGGTGCTATTCCCGAGATTCTTTCTAAGGGCAGCCCTTTTTTGGAACAAGGTTGGCTGTGAACCAACCGAGGCAAAATTATCAAGTGGCTTTAGAATCTTAGACCTATTACAGAACAGTGAATTACTATTATTAGTATTTTCACCATTACTAGCACCATTGTTGTTATCACCTAACCCAAAATAACCAAACCCACAATTATTCCCTTGAAACAAGTTGTTGGACACAAACTCAGAATTGGGAGTTGAGGACAAATTAAGGTTGTCCAAATGGGAATCAGCACCAAAATCACTAAAACCACCCCCCAACAGCCCACCGGCCCTGTTCAGAGCACTTTCGAGATAACCGTTTTCGCAGCCCAGATCAAAGCTTCCCTCCAAGGGGCGGTTTGGTATTGTACTACTACTACTCATCACAGATTTTTGCTGGAGAAAATAACTATTAACCTGATGATTTGGATCCAGAGCATTGAAGAGCGAGACGGACGATGGGGAACAGGACGCTGATGAATCGAGTTGCTGTAAGAGAAGCTGATGAGTTGCTGTAAGAGAAGCGGCGGCTGGCTGGGCCAGGTACCAGTCGTCGTTTTGGGCCTCGAGCATGGACTTGAATGTGGAGAGTGGGTTGGTTTCGGTTTCGGTTTCGGTTTCGGGTTTGTCTCGGATTGGGCCGCCATTGTTGTTGCTGTTTTGAGACCAAGAATAAGCTTGATCTTCCTCTTTGCCCTCTTCCATGTTCCAAACGATGCTATCAACTCTTGGCAGCATATCATCAAATAAAAATAAACAGTAAGATAGAAAGCTAAAAAGAAGGGCACTTTTTGTCCTCTAAAACATTAAAAAA